TGTATATTTAAACAGTGTATTCGTTTGGGTGTTTTCAATATATTGGCAAAATATTTACATTTTGCTATCTTCTGGATCCAAAAAAATCCTGGATAAATATGTATGCCTTAATCCAGTCAGAAACTTAAATCTCTCTCTTGATTGACAGGTGAGCACTGTTTTTTCTCCTAGGAAGTTCACCACCTGCAGGTAAGTCTTAGGTTAGAGCCTTTACCTTATTAAGAAAGCAGGCTACCTGTGCTCGGTGCAACCCAGTGGAGAGGGCATCCTCCACAGGCCTGTCAAATTGCAGTGTCCCAGAAAACAGTTTGTTGTTTGGAATAAGGAGGAGGGCTGTATTTCTTGGTCCCGGTATTCTTTTTCCAACTCGGCAAAATAGGCATGCTGTCCTGTTTGCAGAGTCCTTTCTCTGATTTCTGGCGAGCTTTTATTTCTTTGCAGAGGCAACGTTTTTTCTCAATCATATCCAGCATCGTATGGTCCCCTTGTAACCACTGCATACACGTCACCTATTGGGGGGGGTGGAGGGAGAAAGGAAAGAAGGGGGGGAAAAAAGACAAAAAAAAGCATACAAATAACTATTTTGGTCATAGATTGAACATGCTTGTTTGTAAGGTTAACTTACTTGTATTTGAAACACTCTCATTTGTTTGATGAATAAAAAAATCTCTCTGCCAACAACAGAAACAAAGTCAGTCTTTACTTCTAACTACTTCTTATAGAAAAAAAAATCAGGGTAATAAAAGGTCCCTGTTTTAACTTCTCCAGAGCACTGAAAGCTAATAAAGATAAATGTTTCTGGCTAACTAGCACTGGTTGGATTTTAAATGATGAAATAGATCTTAAAAAGGCACATGGATCTTAACAACGCCCTTAAGTCGTGGAAATAAAAAATTCTATACACTGAAACCCATGTTTTATATTGCTTTCCAAATCCAATCTGTCACATTAAAAGCAGGGTGTTAACACTTCTGAGGATCAAGCTAAATATAACTCTGTTTAATTTTGTTGAAATGATTTAATGAACTCCATGCGGATTACATAGATTAACCTATCCTACTCTGTGATGGTGTTTCATTAACTGGAAGGCACCAAGAGTTTAGAAAGTCCATGTTTTGATGCATGTAGGATATATGAAAACGTGATCCTGATCCAAAAACGGATGTTAGCATATGTTCAGCTCTAAGTATGTGTCACAGCCCCTCTGAAGCTGAGAACGTGGCCTCACGAGTTCAGTGAGGTGCTCACGGCTGCAAATGTGTGTGGCTTCAAAGGCTTTTGGTTGGAACTGAAATCACTAATACTAAACTGTCCTGAAAGGGCTCACTGGTTTGGGATATCACACTGTGTACCTGCAAATCAGAAAACTTCCTCTCAACACTTACTTGGCGAATTTGACGTGATGTCTTGAGTCTCCCAACATTTATTTTCCACACTAGTCATAAATTTGTGTGTAAGTAAATGCACACCATACGTTCACAGGGGCTGTCCAAGGACATCTCTGCCCTTGTTAGGAAAATGCACAAGTACAGTAATACTTTGGCAGCATTTCATGATTCATGAGGGAAATGTAGCTTTACTATTGAGGATTTGAGTACCTTTAATAGTGCATTTTCCTTGTGTTCACAAGTCTTAGAACACCAAGCATGGGCATAGACTGTGTTCCTGGAACTGAGGATTGATTTGCTTGTAAGTCACTAGAGAAACTTCTATTGATCTCAGTAGTTTTTGTGGTCAGCTTAAAACATATTTATCATTTACTGATAAGAGATAAATAAAATATTTGGATTCATAGCAGGAAACAAAGCAGAACTAATAAATCTGCCTACCAGAAAAAGTAATAATAAACTCAAACAGAAAAATACATAGAATACAGAAACGTGTATTTTTTTCAACTACCTTTGTTAGGAAAAAACAAAAAGGTTTGAAGGGGTGAAACAGGATAAAAGAATTTTAGATAGAATTCCTTTTCTTTATACTGAAAAAAGCCATGCTTACCTTATACATTAGATAGTACTTGGAGTAGAACAAGTCTAAACCACAACATGAATTTTGCTCTTGAATATTCTTATGAATTTTGAATCACACAGGTAACTTATCTGCAGTGTGACCTCCTGAATGGCTGAGCCATTCTTCTGGAAGCCTGCTGTGCCTGCTCTTTTAATCAAGTATTTATCTTTCATTTCAGGAGGGATTGAACGTTTACCATGGTGCAGGCAGGTACGAGGCACGTCATCCACCATGGCCACGAGACTTTCTCTCTTTGGGGGCCCAGGCCTGGTTGAAAACTGATTGACTGAACTGGAGATACTCCCCTTCCCACCCCTCAGCTCGACTCCACAGGTCTATGGATGAGGTTCCACCTGAGGCAGATTTCCTGCCACTCTGCTCATCAGTGATGGGTTAGTACTTACGCAGCAGTGTCTTCAGTTTGGCCGGGTCCTCCTACATGGGGAAGGACAGGGACACAGTCTGCACACAATTCGTTACACAAAATATTCACAACAGCTGCTCAGCAGCTTCTGTGCTGGAGTTGATGACAGCAGTGGTTGCATACAGGTTTCCTCCTCTAGGCATCAGGAAATACCTTCTCTTTTATAGCCCATCACGTAAGCAAACAGAGCATGTGCCAATGCCAATCCCTCATGGTATGTGGTGTGCTCCAGTCTCCATGCATCACAGGCACCAGACACAGCACATGTGACAAGTCACCACGAGGGTGTTACATCCACGTCACATCCACGCTCACCACTGTACTCTGCACAGTGCCATTGCCAACACTGTGTCTTTTGGGAGCTGATCTCCTTCATGGGATTCAAGGGGACTGAGCAGCATTTTGACATGCTGAGTTCTAAAATACCAGATGCAGCTTCCCTAAGATAGAAATGGTGTTGTAGAATGTATCAGTTACATGGACACTGACACCCCCTGCAAAACAGCCCCTAAAATAAACCCCAGGGTAGGCAGCTCCAAACCCCTTTTTTAATATTGGCCACCATATTTTGTTACAGCTAGCAAATTATTTATTATGAAGAATCTGAATTTTTCCACTTTCCCAGAAACAGATTTTCAAGTCTACTCATGATTTACTTTTAATGCTAATTTTGTTTGATGGCTAAGTCCTTCACATCAGCATCTTCTTAGATGTACCGTTCACATGGCACATTCCTCTCCTGTAACTGCATTCAGGTAATGGTATGTGCAGCATAAATGTGCAGAGCTGGTACATGCAAAGCCATTTGCCAAAGCAGACCAAGTGAACACATACGATGTTGAAAGGCTTGCGGAGAAAAGCTTTAATGTGAGAACAAATATCAAAGTGTTTTCACTGATAGCTTTGCCCAGTTCTAGCATTTAAGTGCAAGAAAATAAAGATGCTCAGAACAAGGGTGCATGCCTCTTGAAGCTGCAAGACGGACCTAAAAGGAAACCCTCAGTTTGTAGATCAATGAACTGCAGAGATGACAATAATCATGTTGCTGATACAAAGTCCCAGAGGGCTAACTAAATTTTCAGTGTGCCCTAGACAAATAACAGGTGCTGAGGCTCACAAGCCAAGGCTCAACACAGCTGTTTCATCGCAGCAAAACCCCTTGATGACTTCAGTAGGGCTACCGAGGTGTTTAAAGCTAATGTGTTTAATACAGCAGACTTAGGCCTAATCCGTCCTCTGACTGAACTGATGGCACTCACACTTAGTTCTAGCCCTAATTTTTTTCATATTCTCCCTCCTTTCTGGCTTCAGCCTGCTCTTCTGGTCATGAACCAGGTTGTTAATATCCCTGCTAAATCATAACAAGGAATTTATTCAGTGTGAGGACACAAAAAAATAATGATGTTACAACTTAATTTATGGAAAAAAGGTGAGCATTCATGACATTATACAGCTATACAGCTCTCCTGGGAAAGATCCCATAGTGCTTGAGGAATGGGACACATACTGCAGCATGTCAGAGCTTGGCCAGAGATGTAGATGTGGGCAGACAGGCACAAAATGCATCAGCACTGGAGGTAACAGCCAACAAGACACAGCACAGGAGAGGCAAAGCTGGTTTTGACCAAAAAGTCTTGGCCCAAAGCCTGTTCTTCGTGAAGAGGGAAGAAAAAGCCAGCAGTTAATGCTAAGATTATAAAGAGAGACCTCCTGGAGACTCCAGGATATGTACCAGGTACTATGTCACATAATATCCTTTGGATTGTGAAACTCGATAATTGTACATCATGTTTTGTTTTGTTGGAATTTTTACTTATTAAATTATTCAGGGTTTATTTTTAGGTTTTTGTTTGGTTTGGTTTAGGGTTTTTTTTCCAATCAGATAGAGCAAGAGAGTGAAGGAAAATACCAGGCAAAAGCCATTGGTTCTTCACTAAGGTGGTGTTGGAAGTAGGATCAAATCCTTGCTGCTAAGCAGGTAGTAAAAACTGCATGATAACCTCATGTGTAGAAACCATAAGGAATGTAGAGTGTTTGGATAAATTCTCTCACCTGAATGCAACTGAGTGCAAGAGGAAATGAAGACATTGACAAATTCCTGGTAAACACACTAGCTCTGTGATTAGTCATCAGTCTCTAGTTTTCCTTTCAAAAATCTTCTTTGAAACAAATGCATGTTCCAGACTCAAACATCAGCAACAAAAACTAAGAAACTTCTTCCACTATACAAAACTGAATTCTTCCATACAGTTTTTATCAGGAGAAACCAGTCTATGTTGCCACCTTATTTTTACTATCTGCCCTTAGTTTTCTGATAAATTTATTCCCAAAACAATGGAAATAAATTTTACTAAGCTCTGTTATGTACTCTCAAATTCTATGTTGGCAGTGCCACAGAACAAGAAGTAATATTACAAACCCATCTCCAATTAAGAAAAAACAACTTTACACATCTTCAAAACAATGCAAAATGTTTCATCTAAGATAATCTTTTGGGTGAAAAAAAGATCACTTAGTGTGAGTGTTTTAATGCTTTATGAAGATCAGAGAAACAAACTAAACAAAGTAATTCCCTTCTCTGTGAATAGGTATGTTTTTGTGTGTAGATGCCACAATTAACAGTGGACCTGACTTCATTTCTTCTTACCTCATAGGACTGAAATTTTGTATTATTCCAGAAAGATGATTATCAGTCCTGTTGGTTTGCAAATACTTGTATTGCTTAAATTAGATTGCCCAGAACTGTCTTGGAAGAGAGTTTGGATGGGCAGAACATGTCCAGTTCAATCGCTCTTGGTCCAGGACTTGAAGCCAGAGGTCAGTACATACTGTAGCCATCTGCCACATCAGAACTTACTGAAAAAAGCTCAAAATCCCAGGGAAAACTCAGACCAGGCTTTGGGAAACAGACAATGACTCATGCTGCCAGGAACTCCCTGGTGTCACAGCAGACTATTTCTGTTTTCTATTGCCCTGGCACAGGCTCTGCCCCAGCCCTAGGCACCCTCACCATCGAGTGCAGAATGATGCTGGCACAGGTCCATCAGACTCACAAAAGTGCTCAAAATATGGGTG